ATATATATATATATAAATCACTTTATACGCACACCATTGTGTTTGTTTGCTTTCCCCTTCTGCTAGATCTTCACCCTCAGGCCATTTTATTCCTTTCATATCTGTAACTTAGTTCAGCACTTTGTGAGTTTTCACAGCACGACTCCACTCAATGAACAGGTATTTATCCAGCACCTACGCACCAGACATTGTTAGGCACCGGGAAGAGCATTAAATGAAAGATATAATCCTGGCCTTCAAGAAATTCAGCTGAGTAGGAGAGATGAACAAGTAAACATATTACGTGCCAAGTGAACTTCGAGAGACTTGGTTTGGTAGTGGAGATAACGTGTACAGAGCTTACAGCACTGGAATATTAAGGGCAAAAGCGAACAAATCCGTTCAAAGGAGGACGAGGAGCAAAGGGCGGATTAGATACAGCTTCATGGTAAACAGGCTAATAATCCAACCCAGTGATTATTCAAGTACATATGTTTAATCCATAGAACCTGCCTCAGAATCACTAGGACACCAAGGGGGGGAAAAATGCATTCACAACTATTGGCATCAGACTGGGGGAAAGGGGCATTTAAATTTGTATTTTAAACAAACTCCTCCTGTACTTGGGCCACCCAAGTTTTTGGCATACAAAGGAACTAAATTTCGCAGCCCTCCTCCCAGAGGACAGCCTGCGGCGTCTCTTCTCGTCCCACCCTTCCATTCCCGCGGAACTGTCCGTCTCGTCTCCGGACACGCCCACAGGCCAAAACCTCCCGTGAGGTGAGGTCCAATCACCCGCCTCCGGAACCGCCAGGCAGGGATTCAAATCCTCGTTCCGCAAAGGATTCGGGGAAAACGCAACGGGCCAATCTAAAGCGCGAAGGAAGTAGCAGGAAAGGCCGGCGGAGGTTTCTTTGATTGACGTGAAATGTGCCCAATGAGAGCAGAGGACTAGTGACGCCTCCGCCTCAGTGGGCAGGACATTAGCAATTTCAACCAATCCAGTTCAGTGGTGTCTACCTTGTGGGAGGTCCTCGAGGCCGCTGAGGTCGTTGGTGTCTGTTGAACAGCTTGTGGAAGTCGTGCTTCTTTGGGTAGGAGGTTAAAGTCGTTCTTGAGCGGAACGTCTCTGTCCGAAGAGAAAATGAGTTTAGCTCTGAGGTCGGTAATGAGGCGGCGGCACTGCCCTCCACACCCCGCAGCGGGCCCCAGGGCGGGTGTGTGTGTGTGGAAGGGAAACAGTTTGGGGCCGAGGCGAGGAAGGGTTTGCAATTTGGGACGAGGGAAAGGAGCCTCGGCCAACCTTTCTGGGCCCGGACCCCCTCATTCTCCGAGCCCAGGTGTGCCGCAGGTGATGAGTCCAGTGCGTTTCTGCTGAGGTAGACATACCTATCAGCGCCTTGGGCTTTGGACCGCCTAAGAGATGAGCTGTTTTAGCTCCACGGAAGCAGGGAAATATCGCGAGGCTTTCGCGGTGTTTCTGCGAGAAATCAGGCCATGGAGCACCCCTTCGTTCAGTTTCTCCTTGGTGTAGGGCCCCCACCTCAGCTGCGCTGCTCCTGACGTATATTTTGGAAATAACACAAAACTCCTCCTTGCCCTTCCCCCCGGGGCCCTGCTTTACGGTAATTTGGAGACCCAAAATTACCTAGATTTCTTGAGTTTCTTTACCTCTCATTCAGTTCCAACCTGTAATTCACTGTGGGTTGCCCCCTCCCCTAGCCTCATCTGCTGGGGTGCCAAAAAATTGTATACACATGACTTACATTTATCTTTTGTTACCGGTATATGTTAAGTATTATAATTTTAATAGTTTTTCCATTATATTGTGTATACATTTTTTGGCATCCTCTGTGGAAGCTTTGCCTTAAAAATAACTATGGAGTTACGCTACTCTTAAAAAGGTGTTCTGCTAAGGGATAATCCTGGCATCCTTTGATGGGGTCAGTTGTCTGTTGATTATGGACTTGGCCATTCAGAATCGTGGGAAGAGAATGACCCCAATACTATCTTGTGTGAAGTCTGGGCTTTTGTGAAAGATCTTCAGCTACAGATAACATTCTAATAAAATCAACTGGGTTTTACATTTTAAAGTTTTATAGAATTTTCTGTTTCAAAACTTCTGCAAGTGTTGCAACCCATTTGAAAACTTGGAACACTTAGATGGATTGGCATCTTTTAAAGAAGACATTTCTGGCTTTTAAAATAAATTTCCTTTTAAAATTCTTTTCCAGAGTTTATGAGAAATTAAATTTACATGTTAAGTGAGATTTACAAGACCATTGACACTTCATATTAGTATATACAATTAGCACAAATTTTATGCACCTTTTGGCATTTAATAGTCGTGATATCTTTAGACTCAATATTTTGATTTGTTAATGTTGGTGGAAGAAATTATAAAGTGCCAAACTGTTAGAAGTAATCTAAAAACATTTCTAACCTACAATGCCAAAAGACTTTGTAAGTTAATTGATAAATTATTCGTTTTTTGGTAGTAATTTTAATAACAATTATAGGCACTATCAATTATAAATTTTACATTTTAAAAAACATTTTATATTGTAGAATGATGTGAATAGTAAGTATGGATGGTTTGTTTTTTGGTTGGGGTTTCTGACATAAAGTAATGTTTCTTATTTACAGTTCTTCCACAGTAACATTTGTGGGAATAAATACAAAGCTAGGGAGGAAAAAAAGTTAGGTCCTTATTTTTTTATTTTTTAGTAAGCTGTAACACTGTTCAGCTTGGGGAAGTGCAAGTTTATAGCAGCTCAAACTGCACAATGAGCAGGGCTTTGTAAGGATACTTTCTCATGTAAGGATGTTTGCTTTATTTGTCTCCATACATCTAAGAAATTTAGGAAATTATTCACTGGCTAAATTTTTTGGTTGCATTTTTGAAATCGTATTTTAGTCATCTAGAGGCATTAGGAGACTAGGATTTAAATGGACTAAATAAAGTGGACTAAATAGGATTTAAGTGGACTAAACTTTTTTCATTTCATAGAAATGAACTTGTGGTAGACAAAACAAAGAGGAAAAAAAGGAGAGAACTCTCTGAAGAACAGAAACAAGAAATCAAAGATGCTTTTGAACTGTTTGACACCGACAAAGATGAAGCAATAGATTATCATGAATTAAAGGTAGTATACTTTAAAATATAGTATATTTTTTTCTGTTAAAATGTTTTGCATTTTTGACAGTTAAAAATACATTTCTAAATAAGTATTTTAACTTTTGGAAATTTGAAACCCTTTTAAATATTCACAGTTAAATGCTATAATAAAATTGAATAGTACTCCTCTAATATACTGTAAAAAAAACTTTTTGATGATAAAATGAATACGTAGTATTTTAAATGTGAAAAATACATTCCTATGGAGGGGCTTATTTTTCGTTTACATAATTAAACTTTTTCAAACTACAGGATATAAATTGTTCTTAACTATATTCCCACTTTTTTTTTTTTTTGAGACGTTCTTTTTTCTAGTTAGTTGGGGGAGTGTTATTTAATCTGAACATTTTCCTAACACAGTTTCAACGTACTTTCTCTGTTGCAAACAACATACATGATGGTGTGATGTTGACCCAATGCTAATGGGGAAAAATGTCTCCTTTAAGGCTTAGAATTATTTATAAAGACACAAGGGCAAATTAGTGTTTGCGATAGTGTGGATCTGACACTCAGGGCAATGAGAAAGCTTTTATGTAGTAGCTCTTTAGCTCCTTTTCCAGCTTTTTTTAGTTTTTCCTTTACAATGTCTCTTTCATTTGTTGCCATTGTTATTATCTTGGTTTGGGGCCTTATTTCACACCTGGAGTTTCCTAGCTGGTTTCTCCATTTCTAGTTCCACTGTACACTACCATTAGATTCATCTTTCTAAAATCCTTTCACCATATTCTTCATTGCTTATAAACCTTTAGTGGTTCCTCATCATACACTGTGTGAAATTCAGATTCCTTGGATCTTTATTCTATGTTCTCCACACGACCACCTACTTTTCTCATTTGCTAACTGCTTGCCCTTGAGCTCTTCCCATGCAGATAAGGTAGACTGCTCTGTTCACTGCCCTCAAGCTTGTTCTTTATTTTGGTGTCTGTTTTAATACCAGTCATCCTTTTCTAAATACCCTTCTATTCCACTTTATCCATACATCAAAGAACAACTCGAATGTCTCCAAGTAAGACTTCTTTACCCAGTAACACGTCTCTCCTTCCTTTATACTGGTAACAAGATCTCTTTCTCTAGACTCAGGGTCATGTACCACTCGATAACTAACTAATCATGGAGGATCTGATGATAATTCTTTAATGTTTTTTAATCTCTTCTAGTGTATAACTTTATACTATTCTATGTTTTTTTTTCATTTTGGTTAATCCTTTGAGAACAAATAATTTGTCAATCTGTGCACTAATTCAGTACATTGTATGATATGTTCCTTAAACACTCATTGATTGGTTTGTCATAAAAAGATATATGTTTTAAAAATTTCTATTTCAACAGTGAAGAAAAACTACCTCTTTGCTATTTTAGGGACAGAAAACATGCAAAAAAATGTGTTGTCATATCTTAAGTTGTAAACATTTAAGAATTTGAAATTACTTTTTTTTGCAAGAATGCTTTATGATTTGCTTTACCCTTTTAATCCAAAAGGTGGCAATGAGAGCCTTGGGGTTTGATGTAAAAAAAGCTGATGTACTGAAGATTCTTAAAGATTATGACAGAGAAGCCACAGGGAAAATCACCTTTGAAGATTTTAATGAAGTTGGTGTGTATTTTATTTTTTTATTTTTTAAAGATTTTCTTGGGGAATTGGGGGAGGGAACAGTGTTGGGGAATCGGGGAAGGGGAAAGACAAGTTGCTGTCCTTTTGTTCTTCAGTCTAGTTGTGGAGGACGTCACTTCACTAGGCCATGTTAGTATTATTGCGCTCTTCCCGGGTGAGGCAGTTGCTTGCCGCCATTGGATGGCTGCTCACGGCGGCTCACAGCAGCTAACACCGGCTGCCGGCCACTCACACTGGCTGCCGGCAACCCAGGGTAGTTTTACAACAGCCCACTGCAGCAGGGCTGCAGTCTACGCCGTTTCTGTCGGCTCGCGGCAGCCCAGCTCCAGGTCAAGCTGTTGTTCACCATCTTAGCTGTAGAGGGCGCAGTGTCACTGGCCCACATGTCGGATCCCAACCGGGGCCCTGCTGCTCAGAGCTGGTGTCCCAAGCCAACTCTTAACCAGCTGAGCCACTCGGCCGGCCCTAGTTTTTGTTTTATTTGTTTCAATGGCTGGAAATAATCGTATGCATTACTGGAACATAAATATTCCTCTCCATGTATTTATATTTGTCTGATTGCCTTTTATTCATAGTTGTTGGCTATTTTAAGTACTATATCATTGTCATTAATAATTTTAGTAAACATATTTCATCTTAAGTGAATACAATGTTTAAATTGTGATTTTTGTTACCAGTTGAAGCCAGAGTCCCATGCCATCTCCACCTCTTCCTGACTCTCCATTTTTTCTGTGTTACTAATAGAGCAGATATACTGGATTCCTTCTAGAATGAAAGGCCATGGCTAAAACTTCAGCCCTGACTTTCAAAGGTCAACCTTTAGACAGACAGGCTCAGCATGTACGTTAGCTATCCTAAGGCTACCTATTAGAATGCTAGCTGTCAAATAGAAATTTATTACTGTTTGGGAGTCTTTAATAGTCAAGAACTATGTATTCTCCCCGTTTGTGGATTATTTTGAATAATAACTGACCACAGGTGAATATGTTTTAGACTTTGGGACAAGTAACTCTAAATCATAACATTTGAGTCTTAGTTTTATGTACCATCTATTACTATCTAAGGATACTGTTCCACAGTATTTCTGGATGAAGTCTGACACTTAACCACGTTCTTCCCAATGCTAGGAAAAAGTATTAAAATACATTCGATGTAAGTTTAGAATCTAGACAGCCTGAGGCAGTGAGTAACAGGTGTTTTAGGAGTTGCTGCTTTAAAGTAAGATCAAGATAAGTCAGATATTTGTACTCCATCTATTTTTTGGCACATACTACTTGCCTATCTGGTTTTGTTTTTATTTAACATTTGCTGATTTTTTTGGCGTTAGGTACTGTGCTGGGGTGAGGGAGGGGAATTCGTTAAAAGCTATTAAGAGGCTTTCATTTCAAGGAGCTTACAATGTAAATGTAGGTGACCACAAGGTATGGTGCTGTGTGGTAAATTATAATTTTGTCTAGGGCAGGGGTTGGCGAAATCAGCCCTTGGGCTAACTTCAGCTGCTACCTCTACAGTGCCATATCCATTCTTTTATGCTGCTTTTGTGCTACCACAGCAGAGAGAGTACTCAGACAGACCTTATCCTCTCCCTTGCACCCCGCCACCCCAAGCCTAAAATATTTACTACTTGGCCTTTAACAGGAAAGATTTGTCATTTTCTGGTGTAGACCAGTTGATGATATACAGAGGGCATTTTTAAATTTAGGCCTTTGGGAATGGGAGTGGAATATCCCAAGGAGAAGCTTGTGGGTCTCGGAGTAGAGAAAGGCATTCCGGGTAGAGAGAACCACAGAGAGTGGTACCGGAAGTATAGCATGTCTGGAAAAGCTCAGGTAATCCCCTGTTCTAGATGATAGGGAAATGACTGAAAGAAAAGGTAGCATTGGAACAGATGGCAAAGTCTTAACTCTCATGTAGAGTTTGGACTTAAGTCATCAGAGGATCATTATCAGTTTTTCAAGAATAGATGATATGTTTTAGAAAGATGTTGAGAGGATTAAAGATGGGTTGGAAGGAAGAGAGACTGCAGGCAGAGAATAATAGATGTTTTATGCTGAAGGTGATAAGAATGAAAAAGGATACATTTAAAAGTAAAAAAGGTAGCATCTTCACTCTAGGATCTGATCACTGATTAGATTTATGGGATTAAAAGTGTTCAGACTTTTCAAATATGGGAAAATATCTGTTAATGGTACTCTTATCTTTTTGGGGGTGTGGCATTGACAGGTATCTTGGTGATAATGGGAGGAGTTTGGGCTCCAAAATGTTGAGTTTAATGTAATCACTATGTTTGAATAGAAACTTCCAAAAGGCAGTAACAAATATAGTTGAAGCTATATTTGTAGCATTACCTTTAATGATTTTTGATAAACTTTTAATGTGATATATTTTTTAATTTGCTGTATTAAGTGATTTTTATAAAGTGTAAGGCCTATTTTGAGGAAGAAAATTTCTGATAGTATAATTAAATCATTTGAAAATAGAGTTACCTGGACAAATTTATGAAATAGATTGAACCCACCTGAACTGCCTGCATGTCAGTTGACTGATTTTTATTGGGAAAAAAAAAATGTATTTCTTATAATGAAATTCTGCTTTGTAGGACAGGAATAGAACTTGAAAGCATGGAGGAGAGTCACCATAAAGTTTAATGTTTAGCTGTCCAGAATGATAGGTGTTTATAGTTCCCGAGGAAAGTTGCATTCTAAAGCAAATTATTGATAAAAGATTATATAGGCACATAAGTCTGAAGTAACTAACACAATTAAAGCACCAGTGGGATAAGAATTTATACATCTTGGAGCCCCATCTGTTCCCCAGATCACCCTGTTGCTTCTTTAAGTACATTAATACTTTCAGCAAGCTGCTTTTTTTTGTTCACCTGTCATGTAAATTATTTAATTGGTGAAGAAAATTTCTTAACACTTTTTTTTCCCCTTGTCCTGCTTTTTTGTTGGGACTAAATTCAAAATAAGTTGAGTATGAGCCATAGAGTTAAGTGTGGTATTTTATTTTGGTGTTATAGCTGTATATATGCCAACTCCTTTTTGACTGAATATTTATGAGCTTTGATGATTTGCATACTTATAGTAATATATTTCAATTAGTTACTTGGAAGACTTTTGGATAAAATTAATGGATAAAAGAAAACTATCAAATATATGTGTAGATGATTTAACATTAGCTTCAATAGGTGCTATTCTAAAGCTCATTCAACCAAATATGTTGAAAGAACGCAAAACAACAATAATGTATTGGGGATTTGAATTGTATTTTTCCTTTTGGGTGCATTAAAACATTTCAGTGCTTTCCATCTACAAGTATTTGCAAGTTTTTAATGATTTTGTAAACCTCAATAGGATTGGATTATTTTTAATGGCACAGTGAAAGTCATTAATAACTTTGGTTGTAGTGATAGACTAGCATGTAGAATTACTTCAGAGATATTAGATATTTTCAGAATTTTATCTGGTAACTTAAAAAATTTTATACCACAGATTTTTACTTCAGTTTTTGTTATTGTAGCTATTGATTAAACATTGGTAATATTGAGAATATTGAGTTTACTGTATTATTATATAGTATTACATTTAGTATATTAAAACATTGATACTTTCAGCTATTGAGATCTGAAATTACTCAGTTAATTTTTAATTAGTAGTCTGAAGTTATTATTTTGCTGAATACAAGGGTTATGACTTTAGAGAAATCTCCTTCCCTAACCTTNTTTTAATAACTACTTTTCATATTTTGAAAATCCAAAAGATTCTTCTAATCAAGAAGATATCACTAGAATTTTCTTTTACTGTCTGAGATTGTGTCTGTATCAATGATAGCAGTATATTTTATTAATTTGTCAGATTTTTTTTTCTTTGTGTTTTAAGTTGGATTAAATTTGAAGAGCAATTAGTGATACTATTAACGTTAGCCAGCAAACAGCTTTTATCTACTTAGTTTTAATTGTTTTGTTGGTATAACATCTCTACAACTAGGTTACAAACTCCTAGACTTATGTGCTTGATGTCAGTGGAGTCTAGTACAATTCTTGATAATAGTAGACCTTAAATAAATATGATATAAATATAGTCCTTTTTATTTTGTCTCTGTGTGATATAATTTTGCTTACTCTTATAATAGGATGACTTGTTGATGCTATAGAAGTAAAATTTTAAAATATGGATTTGTTTTTTCTTATTTCGGGCTTATTTCTGCGTATTTGGACTCTGATAAGGCATTTTATTGTCAAACTCTAACCTAAGATTCACAGCTTTACTTCTCATCTATTACTTAGTTGGTTTCACAAATGAACGCCTTTGTGATTATACAGGTTTATTTTTTATCTTTTTTTTTTTTTAACATTAGTGACAGACTGGATATTGGAAAGAGATCCACATGAAGAAATATTGAAGGCATTTAAACTATTTGATGATGATGATTCAGGTAAAATAAGCTTGAGGAATTTGCGACGTGTTGCCAGAGAATTGGGTGAAAACATGAGTGATGAAGAACTTCGAGCTATGATAGAAGAATTTGATAAAGATGGTGATGGAGAAAGTAAGTTTTGGGTAAAACGTATTCCAAGTGTTCCTAATAAATACATATAGTAAATTTTTCTAAAACCAAATGATTTTCAAGACCCTCTGCAGACTATATTTAGTGTCATTGTTGTTCATCCTATGATGTGCTTTTTGCATAAATATTTTACATATTCGATTTAGAATGAAGCAAACCTTTAAAACCAACTATACAGATTGTAATATGAGGTTCCACACTTCAAGAAGTTATTTGCTTTGTGGATGAAACATCACCAAAATTTCAGCCATTTAGTAAAATTTCAGCCTTTAATGCCTTCTCCCTCAACCTAAATGCCCTTCTAACCTGTTACTAAGTTTTATTGATTCTGTCCTTCAGATGTTTTGAATCTGTTTTGTGTCTTTGTTTACTGCTGCTGTCCTAGTTCAGGCCCTAATTTCATTGTAGGAATGTTATTATAGGCTCATTGCTTATTTTCTTGGATGGCTGCTGGGTTCAGTGTTGTGTGTGCCGACTGGTTTTACACAATGAAAAAGGCAGATGTGGCCCCTGCCCTCACTGACTTTGCAGTCTATTGTAGCCTCCTATTTCCCTCCATGCCTATAAGCTTCTCCTCCCTTCATAATTCAGTCTATTGATAGCATTCTTTTCCTAAAGCATGGGTTTAATGATGTCATTTCCCTGTTCCAGCACTTGGAGTGATTCCTCAGTGCCGATAAAGTTCAAAGCCTTCTATGATCTGTTTTGCCTTAAATATCTGGTTTTATTTTCCACTGTAGTCTTCCACTATTCCACTTTAACCTTCACCTCCCACACATACACACATTGACAAAATAGGCTCTATCCTGAAATCACTTATTTATTCTGTGCCTTTCATCATGCCATTCCTTCATCCTAGAACACTCTAATTGCTAATTTTTGTCTGCTAAAATGTTACTTGTTTTCTCAAGTACATTTTAAACTCCATCTTTTTCTCAAAAGCCTCTCCCAATGGTCTGTGTTTGTGAATTATGAGATTTCCATTGAGGTCCCATAGCATTTAGAGGAATCAACGATTTTGACACTTTTATACCCTGCCTTGTGTTAGTTATATATATGTGTATATCGCCAAGTATGTTGTAAGCCCCTTCAGCGTAGTATGGAATCACAGTGTGAAAGGCCCGAGGCTTTGGAATCATACAGACCTGGATTTGAATTGGATCTCTAGCATTTGCTTAGTTCATATGTAATTTTGTGCAAGTTGTCAGAGTTTTCTGAGTGTCAATTTTCCCGTTTATAAAAATGAGAATGGTAATACCATATTAAATGAAGTTAGTTGAAGGTGCCTAGCATTAAATATAAGCTTGTTTTCCTTTTTTTTTTTTACTCAACTGTATATTGCTCTGCATTTTCTTGAACATAATGAGTGCTCTAATGTTTGTTGACTTAAAGCCCTAAGCACAGGAGTGTGGTTTACAGTAGGTATATGTTCATATAGTACCAACTATACATACATACATAAATAATATATACATATACAGCTAGCATCTTAGAAATATTGGCATGCTTTAATAAGGAGGTAAGATAGTAGCAACGAGCTGTCAGTTCACATTTGTAGATTGTCTTTTAGAATTGTGCATTATTGTGCTTTCTCATATTTATGTGAATATTAGTTCAGCATTATAAAACTTTGCTGTTTTTTAATCCTAGTTTCTTGAAGAGTATTGATATAGCTATTTACATTTTAAAACAAGATGATTAAAACTTGAGAAAATTAAAATGATTTCTTAAGCTGTCTCTAATGTTTGGACTCAGAATCCACTGCTTTAATATTAAAACAATAAATAAAATTGTGTCTTCCCTAGCTGTTATGACCATAAATTAGCTTTAAGGGAACTATCCTGTAAAGGTACTATCTTCAGTGACATAAAGAATCTTGGTATGTTTATTTCATAAATCTTTAATAATGGCTACTCCATGTGTCAAAAGATCAGAGTTATAATTTTTTTTTTCCTGTACTAGGCATATACAATTAGATTTTGGTTATTAGCTTCATTTGACAGTAGAAGAAAATATCTATTAGGAAGCAGCCTCTTAAATTCAAACTTGATGTGAAACTTTGCTTAGAAATGTGTTCATTTCTTCATCCCTTGTGAGATTGTTCTGTCTGCTGCTTTTGAATTTCATAGTTCATACCTGTGCTTCATTGCTTGAAGATTTATTTTAGTGCATGCTCAAAACATTCCTTCAGTCCTCACTGCTTATATTATTACTCCATTTTAAGTCACTGTACAACTGTTGCTTGGGTATCCTACTGTCATTTATTCAAATGACTTAATAGGCAAATAACATTTTTTTTCTTTTTTTCCAAGTGATTGGTTACAAATAAAATACAGCTTAATCTCTTATTATTAAGATTTGTTTATTTTCTTGGGGAAGAGGGTGGTCTTATATTAAAATACTGTAATCTAGTAGTTTTTATTCTGGGATATGGGTCTCTAGAGGTGACGGGTCTTCTGAGGTGTTGCATGGGTGGGGTCTGGGAGTTCATGTATGTGTCATGTTGTCTGTAGACCATACGAATAATAATACTGCACATGCATACTTGTACTGCTATGTTTCATTTATATCTGTAAATACTATTGTTAATAAGTATTCTTTGTAGAATATGATTCATAGTAGCTTTTTTACTTTATTTTCAAACAAGACATAACTACGTATAGTTGTTATTGTGGCAAGTTCAGAAAATTTTTGTTGCAATGCATATTCATATGATGAAAAGAGTGAAAATTACAGCTCTAACCCATTTAGTCTGGCTTTGGGATACTGCCTTAACTTATATGGATCTCTGCAGCTATATGAAAATCTTCCCATTTTTGAAAAAGGAAGTTAAATATTTTGTAATAAGTTGTTAATCTGATCACTTCTTTTGGATTCTTCTTGCTGCAAACTTTTGTTTAGATATCCTACTTTCTTCGTATATGTTAAACGATCATAATACTTTGCTGCCTTTTTTGGTGGACTTCAGTAATTCTTTTGTCTTTATGAATTTTTCACACTGTTCAGTATTTAAGAGCCATGAAATTGTTTTTATTGTGTATATTAGAATGATAAACATGGTGAATGAGGGATTAAAGGAAAAGATATATGAAATATAGATAGAGCTGTGGTAATGATATAGAAAGAATCCCTTCTTCACCATTTCTCCCAACATACATAAAGTAAAACAGTCTTTTTGGAAAAATGGAAGCAACTTTTAAAAAGCCAAAGTGACCAATCTTGTAAATAATTATGATGAGTGTTAACATTTATTTAGTAGTTAATGTATATTAGATTCTGTGCTTACCATGCTACTTTGTGGGTTATGTCACTTAATTTTCATAATAGCTTTAGTGAAGTAAATACAGTATTATACTTGTTCATGCATAGGATAGATGCATGTGTACAAGGAAACTAAAGCTCTGAGAGATTAATTTACCTGTCCAAAGTTATCACAAAGCTAATACATGGCAGAGCCAGAACTCAAAGTCAGATATCCATAATAACAACATCCTTTTAACTAACACAGTATTTATTGCCTCTTGTGCTATAAAGTTCAATATTAATTAGGGATCTGTGTTTATGGAGTTTTAAAAATCACATACTATTATAGGAAGCAATGGATTAGTAAAATATTCAGTTGGCACTTCAGATGCTAAAATTTGTATTTTTCCAAAATTTGTTTTTTTCCCCCTGAAGCCAGATGGTCTCTAATGTACTTAATTTACTTAATTTCTTGAAATTTCTTTATTTTAATTACATGTAATATGACTCTACAAAATGATTGATTTATGAAAATTTTGTTAAAAAGGCAGTGTAGAAGAAAATGAAGTGTCATATTGTTTGATTCAGTAAATATTTTATCAAATACATATTTTAAGGTAGATACTGTGCTAGGTTTATTAGCTGTAGGCACCTTGCTATCTCAAAGGTTATAAAACCAAATGTACAGAGGCATTACAGAGTCTCATAAATGTCTGAAAGGCTCACTGGCGACAAAGGAGCTCGTTTTATTTCCATCGCCACTTCCTTTCCACTTTTTTTGTTTTTAAGTATTCTGTTTTTATGTATGAAGTTATGGAATAGATTAAAATACTTTTGAAATGCTATAATACTTTAAGGTGTTTATATATAAATAATAAAAATTAAGTGTTTTGTGGTTTTAGAACACAATATGAAGTTTAATTTGAAAAATGAGTACTGAAATTTTACATTTGAGAGGAAAAATGTTCTAGATCTTTAAGTAGCAAAAGTACTTTTTGAAATATTTTGATCATGGCTCTATTATACTTTAAAATGATTTATAAACAAGGCTGCTTTAATTTTGTTGTTTTTCTTAAAAATATACGCTTCTTTCCTATTTTGATCTAGATTCGGTCTAAATTTTTAAATCTTCAGGGTTTGTTAAATGAAATTGTTTAAAATTTTTATATATTTTAATTTTTTTTAACTGGGGGAGAGAGGAGTCATAGCTTTCATAAAATACGGAAACATTCACTTAACTGCAAAGATTAAAGATCACTACAACAATTTGTAAGATTACTGAAAGTATTTTGAATATTATAGATTTTGTATTCTCCTACCACGTCTGTCATGTCTTCTAGATTTTTAATATTGAATGCATGGATTCATGGTTCTTCTGGACAGCTCATTCTTCTTAACTCTGTATAGCTTATTTTTGCAGTTTTCTATCTTCAACGGTTTTTTATGGTGTTCTACCTTAACTTTCTTTCCACCACCTGTGAAACCAAATCCTATATTTTTATTTTAGAGCCCAAGTCAAGATTTTTTACCTGAATTTTTCTCATCAGTAATGTTTTTTCCCATTATGATGGATTTTATCAGTACTTATGTAGTTTTATTTTAATAATCATGCTTTGTGTTATATAGCATTTTTTCTTTGTTTCAGGTATAAAATGTGACTAATGTGACTACTTGAAATGTTTTTTTATGTGGTTTCTGAAACCAGTGTATTTTTTTTTATTCCTGATGTACGTATTTAATCCCCTCAACATTTTTTTTTTTTTTTAGCTGAGCCATCCTGCCACCTGTTGGCAGCTCAGCGGCAGCTCAGCTCAGGCCGTGAATCAAACCGGTGACCCTGTTGCTCAGAGCTCACACTCTTGACCGAACTCTTAACCAACTGAGCCATTCAGCCGACTCTCCTCACATTTTTAATTAATTAATTTTTGTTTGTAACTCACATTATGAATCTTCTTAATCATAGAAATAAAATGTTAGACTAGTACAGTGAACACCTTAAAACCTCCTACCCAGATTCAATAATTAATAACTTACTGTATTTGCTTTATCTACAGTGTGTATATTTTTTCTGAGTCATTTGAAAAATATATAATTAACTTGACTCACCCCTAATATTTTAGCCTGTATCTACTAAAAGTAAAGATATCTTTCCTAACTATGATACCGTTATAGTTCCTAAGAAAATTAGCAATTTTATAATATCACCTAATACCTTCCTCATTTCAATTTCAAGATATCCTGGAATAGGAACCCTGGTGTTTGTTTTGATATAGTACACAACTCCTAGTATGTGTTAACATTCACAAGCACTTAAAAATGTTTGATTGAATGGACTGTTTTCATATATTACCATCGTACAATATTTAAGACTTTAGAAACAACCTAAAAGATTATCTCTGTAGTTCTAAGTATTTTCAGATGAAGAAATGGAAAATACTTAAAGCTACGACTGGAATCCAGGTCTCTTTTTTTCTCATTGTAGTGTTCTTGTTATCATTATCAAAATTATCATTCATAACTTGTACCTTATTAAGGTATGTATTAAGTCTTGGGACTTATGAACTCACCTGTTTTTGAAGAGGAAACATTCTTTTTTGAACATTTCTATTAATCATGCATATGTGTGTATATTATTTTTTAAATTTATATTTAATAAGATCACATTGTTGCCTTTTATCACCTATTATTTCTAGATTGTGTTCTTAAACATTATGCTTTATAAACTGGAGGTTTTTAATTCATTTTATAATTTTGGTAAACAGTGTTTATCAGTGATTATTTCATGCATTTACATCTATATTTTGAAGTTGCTGTATTACCTTTGTAATTCAGATTAAATTTGCACCTTTTAAAATTATGATTTCTCTGGATACTTGGGAGATATGGTGACCTGGTTTCATTTAGTTTTTCTTTAAAATAGGCTTTTAAACAAAGTTCAAAAACCAAAAATTTGATTTTTTTTTATTAATTCTTATACATTTTCATCCTTTAGAATTCTAATTTATATGCATGATATATTTATGCTTATTTAGGAAGGGGGAGGGTTTGCTAAATGAACTAGCAGAATAAAGATTGTAAAGAGAGTTTAACCATCTAAGAAATTAAAATTTTCAAGCTTTTAAAGCTATTTTACAAGTGTGTACAAATCTTATGATTATAGTGGACTTTTTTGTAACATATATTTTTCCTAGTTACTACTATAGAATACAAATTTATATTTCTTATCACATTTTGTATGTCTTTGCATTCATGAAGTTCTATTTAATAAACATGCTTACCTTTCTGGCAAAGAAGTAAAAGCAAAAGCTATGTCTTGGTTTATTAAGAATTTGTATAATATAAAATTTAAAGATACTTAGTGTAAATTAGTAGTATTGTTCTCTGAAAAAATTTGTATTTCTGACTTACATTTTCTTTCTTACCACAGTAAATCAAGAGGAGTTCATTGCTATTATGACTGGTGACATTTAAAGAATTACAAGGATAAACACCAAGAATGTTGCAGTTACCATCTTATATTCTATTTTTGTGCTTGGAGGCGTGTAAAAAAACTACCAACTTAGTTCTTTTTTCCAAAGGGCCCAAAAATGTACATCTTATGTACTCATATTTTACTACTGTTAAGTTTCTTTGTATGAACGGTATTGTTAGTAGTCTAATAGTTCATAACTTTGTATTTATAATATAGCTTTTATATATATAAAGTTTAAAAAATTGAATCATGTGGTACACATTCTTGGAAGGTTTTTTATTCAGTATAGTAGTCACTTTTGTTTTGGTGCACATGTTTTCCAGACTTTCATTAATAAAATGTTTATTTTAATAGTATTTTGAAGTTTTGTAAATTTTGTTTTATTTTTATTCCAAATATCTATTAACCCTCAATAGTATCTTTCTTAAATCTGTTCTCTTTATATTACTGGTTTTAGAAACAAAATTGAAATACAAATAGCAATAGAATACCACATTTTTCTTTTACAAGTTTGACATTTTATGTTTCCATACAAGATGATCACTCAATGTAAGGATAATTCCTTTTCTAAGAGTCATGTCTGTTAGTTTGGAGGGAAAAAGTATTGCGCGTATAGATCCATTTATCCTGGTGTGTTATGTTCTATAATGCTTGGTATCTTAACGTTAAGTTGTGACAGTTAAATATGGATATTTCCTTCTTAAACTAATCGAATACAGTTTGAATCATCTAACTTCTTGACAAAGTGAAAGATTTAAATTTTGGAATTTTGATCTGTTAAGGTAATTATCATTCAGTTAAACGTCACAGTGATGAAAATAGGAAACTGTAAGCCACAGAAATCGTTTAAGACTATGTTTTACCTGTATAAAGGAACATTCTGTAATTCACCAGGAAACAGTAGAGACAGACTTTGCAGGTATTGGTGGGCTCTTTTGCCTTGTAAAAGTTTGTTGGGGGAAACAGTGGTTAGGGGACATGGCTCATAGGGGAATGTTATCTGTACTGATCTTTGACTAACAATCTGGTTCCTGGTAGTATGGGCTCTTCCAGTAATAAAGTTGAGTTGTCTATTTTAGTGACCTTTCCTTAGATTTCTTCTTTTAAGTCTGAAGTACTGTAACAATATGAGGCACTTTAAATGTTGTGAGCCTCCTAGAATATTACATCAAGAGATATCCACTAGAAATTTAACAAAAAATCAGTAGGGAATAATATAACAGTGGTGGCATTTCAAAGACTTATCTAGAAAGCAAGTTAATTGTTCATATTAAAATTTGATTAAAAATATGAAATCAATGTTTACAGTAGTAACAATGTCCAAGGCAACAAATAGTCTTAGAAATTTTAAAAGTTTTATCAGCCTTACTGATTAATTGCCTTCTAGGTCTTGATCACAAAATATGTTAATTTCCAGGAAATTGAAGAAAAAAGAAAATGAAGAATAAGACACAGATAAAAATAAATCTAGCCTTGCTAGTCTTTTACCACTTCATTGGAACAAATAACCTAAGCTGCTTTTTGTAACAGAGATAACTTCTTTTTTCTTAATATAAATACTCCTTGGGATACAAGCAGTTTTGTTTCTTCTGTTTTTATTATGGGTTGAGGGAGGAGTGCTCACCTGAGTCATTTATGTTTGTGGACAGTTTTCTCCTACAGATGAGTATGAATTATGCTCAAGAATTTTCCAGTGTTAATCAATTATTGTAGAGTTGAAAGATCCATAAAATTGGCTTAGTAGAGGTGGCAATAAAAAGAAAGGAGTGAATTTGCTTTTGAAAAGAGGAAAGTAGAGGTTGATATTAGTCACATCATTATAGCTGTATATATCATGCAATGGCATTTCATGATGTAAAAAAATATGTTTCTTGCTAAACTTGCCTAGTGCATTGCTGTTTGATGTCCTAGTAAGCTTTGATAGTTTGGGATTTGCCAGACATGATCTTTACCTTCACCTTTGTTATAAGCCAACAAAGTCTACTTTTTAAAGAAGCTGTGTCCCTATTAGCAGCTCTTACATTAGAGTCTGGAGGTGGGTAGTTGGAGTAGAGGGGAAATCAAAACCATATTTGTTATGCACTTTATATGTGGTAGGTACTGTGCTACGCCTACTTAATCATTTAATGCAGGAAATTCGTGCAGCACTTCTAATGGGAGATTTTCACATTTAGTTGGTGTGCCAGTGTTAATGGCCTTAAATTAGCAAACATGAGTAGACTATCCAGTTGAGTGACTAATGGCCTCTTCCATTAGCCATCTACCTGGTGGTAGTCTCTGGAAGTGAATTCTCGGTTTCCTAGTGATGTGTTCTTTATAAAGATTGCTTACAGTGTTCCGAAGATCAATGTGAAGAAGGTAAAATAATTTCAAAAATCACTTAAACATGTAATTGAATTTACGTTACATAAGTAATAAAGACATTGCATAATGGCAAAACTTTTATTTAGCCCCGATTCCATTCCCATTCTTCTGAATAGTAGTAGTGTCAGTTCACCTTCAGACAGAAAGAGAAGAAGGGCACAACTATGTATTTTAACCGAGGGTGATATGAGGAATAGGTTGAATTGGTACTGGAGAACCAAATAATCAGAAAGGGAACATGAGATCATTCACTGCAGGAAGCAGCTACCTCCCCTAGAGCTGAGGGGACAGTGAACCCAGCAGCTTAGACACAATATCTTGTAGAGAAGGCTCTGGTACACTGGTAGGTGGCGCTAATATTGATGGAATGAGGAGGCTGGTTTGGGGAATGCTGAGAAAAAAACGAGAGGAATTGCTGGAATGAAGAGCAGTTGCCCTGGGGATACTGATGAACAATAAGCAAACAGGAAATAGCAAGATTCTTTCCCCCTCTTGCCTTCCTGTTTTACTCTTCTGGTCCTATTAGTGGAGCCTAACAAAAATGCACCTGGCAAAAAAAAATGAAGTTTTACACCGTCCCAACCCCAGTATTACTGAGTTGAGTATAGTGGTTTAGAGCCATGGGGAAAAAATTGCTTAATAACCGGCACAATTGACCATATATTTTATCATCTGACCCCCGGGTTACTTGAGAGTGAAGAGGCTTGTGGGAGAATTTTATGTTGGGACAGCAAATGTAATTCAGAACAATCCGAGACCAAGAGGAGATATGGTTACCTGATCTTTGGGAATGGTAGCCATTGTTATTTTAGAAAAGATTATTTCAACCTGTTTCCTTTGTGCTTATATGAAAGTATAGAAATGATTTTTTTGCATGAATATTGCATGCATTCTGCAGCTAAGTTTTATGAAGGAAATATCTTTAAAAATTTAGTAACATTAAGTGCTGCTGTATTCCAGGCACACACAGATGTTTACATACATTATATATTTTAATCTTAATATATGGGGTACATACTTAATCTTAAAATCTTACATACATAAAATAATATGGGGTACATACTGTTGGATTGTCTTCATTTTACAAACAGAAAATCAAAGCTTAGCAGGCTTAAGTAACTTGTTCAAGGTAAAAGAAATTGGAATTGGAATTTTATCCTAAGCTTTCTGGCTCCAAAGCCCACTTATAACCACTAGATTTTACTGTGTCCTTACAATGACTTTTATAGACTATTTCAAGGGGTAAAGGATCAGACCTTTAAAACTACAAAACTGAAAGAAGTAGAATCTGGAATTCAGAAGCTCAACAGCACAAGCGTTTATTAAACCACATGTCTTAATCTAGCATGGCATGCGTTGTATTGTGTTATTCTATGTGAGTTAGTTTGGTGCCAGACCTCTGCAAGCTAAAAATCTTAGTCTATATTTTTGTAGTCATGGAGGCAACACATTGAAAAAGTAGATGTTTGGGAAAAATACATTAATTACAAATAAAATACTAAGCATATACTGAGAAAGTACATACTGAGTAGTAAAAGCTCATAAACAGTTTGTATTTTGAGAGTAAAGTTTAGTAAAACATTTTTCCCTCCAATTAACCTTTGTGGAGAAGATGTTATTTTAGGGTTTGCTTGAATGAAAAAAGAACTCTTATTCTTAGTAGGAAATGCAAGAAATCTTGGGTTTAGGAATATGGCTGGTTAAAAGGATGTGTGAGAGGGTCTTTGAGGCATCAAGCCAAAGAGGAGGAGGGTTTATGGACCTGGATCTAATTTAAAGCAAAGCTCTTGTAGGTTTCATTGGAGGTGCATTGGTCAGAGAGGGGGTCATTTTAATAGTAGAATGATTCAGTAGAATTGTTCAGGATTTGGGTTGCAAGCAAGAATTTGTGGAATAAAATATGGCAGTCATCTGGATGACAGTTTAGTTGGGTCTTGGAGATCTTGGTTAACCAGCCTAGGCTCACCCATTCAATTGAAATAGGTAATTTATCTACACGTCCTGATTTTGACTTCAGTCATTTGTCATCCTATCGTTAAAGCATTCCTTGGAAACTTTATCCAGAAACCCTATGGAAGATTGACATGGTATATCTAAAACTTGTGAGACCAAATCTCTGGTTTATTTGAGATAATATATTTTCGATAGAGTTACTGCTGTGTACTCGAAATATTAAGTGTAATTATTAATAATAATTGTCTACAAAACCTAAATTATTCTTTTTTCTAAAGAAAAGGATAATTTTCTTTTCTCTGGAAATCTGTACCTTGTGCTATTCTGAGATATGTAAAATATTTTTTCATTATATAATTTTGGCAAGATTGCTGACATTTTATAGAATCAAATAGCAGGATTATTCCCATTTTATACTTAATTAAATATTTTTAAATAGGTTTTCTTTATTCCATAATAAAAAAAATCAGGGATACTTAATAGAATCCCTGTAGTCTGACATTTCTAATTTTAATATGCTTGTAACATTTGTCCAACACACCACTGTTTTTTGAAAAGAGCGATCATTTTCACTCTATGGTATCGTAGACTGTCTGTCCCCAAGGTCTTCCAAAAAGTCCGTGTAAGCCTGACAACTAGGAAACATGTACTGTTGTGGAACATAAATTCTGGCGATTTATTCATGCAAGTCTGCATACATCAACTAACATCAGCTAAATGCTAAGTGATAAAAATGTTTCCAAATCATATTCCCTACCATTGAGGACCTTCTTAAATTTAACAGCAGGTTAAAGATTTGGCGTTGGCCTACTGAGGAGCAGTCTTTCATTAGAAAATAGACACTGCTTGTATTGAAAGTTCATGTATTTAAAGTCTGCCAAGCAGGTCGACTTAACCATACCCTAAGCAAGACCTACGTTTTCCTTTTTCATTTTATATTAAGATAAAAACGTTCAATTACATCTGACATAGCTGGCCAAAACTGAATTCTCAGGAGACTTTTTCTATACCTGACTTGCTGGGAGATAATTGTTTCTAATCTAAGTCCTAAGGGATGGTGGGACGTTGTTCAACATTGGCAATAAAAGTAAAGTAACTCCCTCAAAGGAAAAAGGAAGCAGCAGTAAGATTTGGATTCTAAAAATTTTCCTATGAGAAAACTTTGTTCAAATCTAGTTGCTTGGTCTCACTACTATAGCGAAGATTGAAAGGGAAAAAGAAACGGAAAGATTTAAAAAAACGAACATTTCATATCCTAATTACCTCACTTGATTTGGGGAAAAATCAGATTATACTTATGAAAATGTTTTGTGAGTTGCAAAATTATATTAAAATAAAAATTGTTATAATTAGTTTTCTCATGTAGTTGGAATTATTAGTGTTTGGGCCCAAGTAAACTACAGTTCTACAGTCTAATGCTGGAAATTCTGGGATTTCCAAGGCCTCTAGCAGATTCTTGGGTGTACCCATACCCAGGTAGCTAGGATATTGCTTCGAGGTAAATTCTATACTCACATTAGTTTCTTCTTTCATAAGCAGATGAGCAAGCCAAGTGTTCAGTCCATTTGAAGGAAATACAGATGGTGCCCAAAAAGTGTATCTACATTTTAAGAAAGGAAAAAACTATTAAAACTGTAATACTCAATATATACCCATCAAAAGATGAATACAAATCACGTTTGACTTCTGCATTTATAAGAGGTGCTCAAAGGGGTTACCATCAGCATAATGTTAACACAGTTTTTTTCCTTTTTTAAGATGAGTACATTTTTTTGGCACCCTCTGCGTATTCTTACAGAACCTGAGGTGTCTCAAAGTAGAGAATTTATATATCATACTGTTATATTTGGTTGAAATAATACTATTATTTCCACTTGTTTGAAATAAGCTTAAAAATCAAAACAATTTATATTTTTACACAAGTTATGGTCAAAAGATTTTTTTTTTTAATTAAAGTAAATCTTGATTCCTAGCAGCTATAAGGGCCTTCACTTCTAGAAGGTTAATGCATGTGAAAAAGAGAGAGAAAAGGCAGATCTTCTCTTAAGAGTTCTTGTTTCTATTTTATTTATAGTTTATATCTCGCCTTTTTCCAAAGAAGAATTTATAGCAAACTTCCCCAGTACAAATACAGTAAGATTATTGGAAACAATAGATCACAAACCAGATGAGAGAAGGAAGAGACAAATCAAGAGTCATCTTCAATTATTTGGGTTTAATTTGAGAGTTTTCAAATTAACTTTGGCTAGCATACAGC